CCAACTTTGCGGACTGTTTGTGAGGGGGGTCGGGGGGAGAGACGGGTGTCTGATACACATGGAAACCCGTCACCGTGGCTTAAGAGTCTCCAAACCCAACTAAGAATTCCCCACATCTCACCCACACCTGGAAACCCCAGAGATAGATGGTTGGGATGGAATGCGCTCTTTCTCTCGCTCTTCCAGGAGGGACACAATTCTTACCTAATTCTGGTTGGTGAGAGCCAAGGCTTGGAGGTGAGCCCAGGGTGTGTGTTGGGGTAACTGCTGGAGTCAAAATAGGTTGGCCATTGACCAGCTAAACCCACATAGCTTGGCCATTGAGAGAGAGAGAGAGCGCGCTGTCTGGCCAAGCTTCCCGCTGCTTATCCAGCCAGGACCCCCCCTTCCCGTTAGTTAGTTATGGCTTTGGCTGCGCGGTTAACAGGAGCTGAGGGGGAGCAGTACAAGGCAGAAGCTGCCACTAACAGGTCTAATGGAGAGGGGTGTGGGAGAGGGGGAGAGAGAGGTGTGGGAGAGGGGAATAGAGGGATGTGAGAGGGGAGAGAGAGATTTTGGGAGAGGGGAAAAGAGGGGTGTGGGAGAGGGGTGTGGGGGAGAGAGAGGGGTGTGAGAGGGGGAGAGAGAGATTTGGGAGAGGGGAAAAGAGGGGTGTGGGAGAGGGTGTGGGGGAGAGAGGGTGGTGAGAGGGGAGAGAGAGGTGTGGGAGAGGGGAATAGAGGGCGTGAGAGGGGGAGAGAGGGGTGTGGGAGAAGGGAAGAGGGGTGTGAGAGGGGTGTGCGAGAGGGGGAATAGTGGGGTGTGAGAGAGGAGGAGAGAGGTGTGGGAGAGGAGAATAGAGTGGTGGGGGAGAGGGGAATAGAGGAGTGGGTGCCCATGTGGAATATAATTCTCAGCACGGACTGGATGAACCAGATGGATTGTTGGCGTGATGTATCGTTGAGTGTAAATTGATGCTGATCCTTGGCTTCTGTGAATGACACCAATAATCTATTCCCATTTTCCGTCATAATCATTTAGGCTGAATGCCAGGCTTTAAGCAGCACCTGGACTGACATAAACCCTTTCTTATTGTTTCGTATTAATATGTGTTTCCGTAACTGAGCAGTGTGGTAACATGCAAATGAGTTGCCGAGTTCTGTCAAGCTGATCATTCACCTGTCTGTGAGCTAGAAACGGTGTATCAGACTGATCTCAGAGACAAAAACACCCACCGTCACTTTTGTGCTCCTTAATTCCTATTAGATTCACAACAAATTCAAATTAAGTGATATATGTCGGCCTGGCTCAGTGCTGGCTCTCTTGCTTCTGAGTAACTGTATTTTCTCGGCAAACCCATAGAGCCAATTTGCGTACAGAAACATCCCACAAACAGCCATGGAGTGACGGAGCGATTGTACGTAAAAGAATTGTCGGTCAGGACACCGGGAGACAGAAAATAGCACCGTGGGAATCTTTAACATCCAATTAAAGGCAGACGGGGAGTGAGGTTTAACGTCTCATCCGAAGGATAGCATCTCCAACAATGCAACGTATCTCCAGCGCTGCATTGGGGCATCAGCTTTGACTGACGTAAAGTTCAGACAGAGTAAAGCTCTCTCTACACGCACAATGTAGAGGGAGCTTTACTCACAACCTTCTGACTCAGAGGCGAGAGAGAGACAAAGAGAGAGAGAGAGAGCGCTACCACTGAGCCAGGCATGATATGAGCCAAATGGCCGGTTGTTGGAAATGGCACAGAGAGCTGTGGCTCCTGTGTCTCCTCTAGAGGTCCTCAGCCTGGCTCAGTCGCTCGGACTCACTTCTCTAAGTTACAAGGCTGTGGATTTAATTCCCACAATGTCAGGGTCTCTGAGCTCGGAGTCTAGCCAGCGCTGGAGAGAGAGAGGGAGACAGAGAGAGAGAGGGAGAGAGCCCCACATTGTCAGAGACACCGTCCTTTGGATGAGACGTTAACCCTCCCTCCCCATTTGTGCCCCGTTCAGGGGGGACGTTAAAGATCTCCCACAGTGCTGGGGGAAAAAAGAAGGGATTTTCTTTCTCTCTCGCTCTCTCTCGGTGTCCTGGCTGACAATCCCCCAGATAAAATCGCTCGCTCAATTCACAGCTGTTTGCGGGGACTTTGCTGTGCGCAAATTAGCTGCCACATTCGTCCACGAAACTCACAGTCACTACACTTTAAAATGAAGACTGTGAAGCACTTTGAGACGCCCTGACCTGAAAGGTGCTGGATCAAATGTGAGGATTATTATTATTGTGATTATATCACTCTTCCTGCAGGAGAATCTGAATATTCAAACTATATCTAAATGGGCAGCGTAAAGCTCCTTCATTTTGCACTGATTGGAGTCCCACAAACAGTCACAGCACAGGTGAGACTCACAGTAAAGGTCCCTCTACACTGTGCATCCGTCCACACTCCCAGGTCAGGGTTACAGACACAGTAACGCTCCCTCTACACTGTGCGTCCACACTCCCAGGTCAGGGTTACAGACACAGTAACGCTCCTCTACACTGTGCGTCCGTCCACACTCCCAGGTCAGGGTTACAGACACAGTAAAGCTCCTCCACACTGTGCGTCCACACTCCCAGGTCAGGGTTACAGACACAGTAACGCTCCCTCCACACTGTGCGTCCACACTCCCAGGTCAGGGTTAGAGACACAGTAACGCTCCTCTACACTGTGCGTCCGTCCACACTCCCAGGTCAGGGTTAGAGACACAGTAAAGCTCCTCTACACTGTGCGTCCGTCCACACTCCCAGGTCAGTGGAGGAATGGGTTTGAGGCAAACTTTATAGCAAAAAAAATGAATATTTGATATAAAAAAGAAATCCAGTCACATTAACAGCTTTAATATTTGATGCAGTGAGACCTGCATGTAAGTTGCTTCTATAACAGTGCTTCCGTTTGATACAGTATCTTCACACCAGTGAGATGTGCTTTATAGGATTTTACTATAATAGGTAGTGACTGTGTGTTTCATTCTATCTCTGGGGTTTCCAGGTGTGGGTGGACTGAATTCTCAGTTGGATTTGGAGACTCTTGAGCAACGATAATGGGTTTCTGCGTGTGTCAGACACCGGCTGGGTAAAAAAATCAGTCTGTGCGTATAGAAGACTAAGCCACACTGGAATAAGAGTGAAGAGCTCTCTCTCCTTGTCTCAGGTACAATCTCTCAGTCGCCCCTGTGACTAACAGATCCTCTGAGAGCGAGAGAGAGAGAGAGAGAGAGATAGCTCTGTTATCCACTCATCAGCTGAGAGCCTACGTTGTTTGAAATGCCTTTTCGGAGTATTTATTTTTGCATTTGATGCAGTGCCTTATCACGTCTCAAAGCGCTTTGTAGGACTCACTATAAAGCGTAGTGACTATGTATTTTGTAGGCGAACGTGGCAGCCAATTTGCGCACAGCGACGTCCCCACAAACAGCCATGAAGTGAGCGACTGTGTTTTATGTCCTGTAGCTCAGGGATTAGACCCCTCGCCTCACAAGCGAGAGGAGCTGGTTTTGATTCCCGGGCAGGGGGGGGGCGAAACGTTTGGCAAGTTTCCTTTCTCCCCCCCCCCACACACACACACACAGACACACACGCCTCTGTTTGTCAGCAGGTAGTAGGAACCCGGTTATTAGTCAACCGGCGGATCACTTTTCCGTGGGTAACAATCCCTTGAAAAAAGAAACAAAAATAATAATAATTTGGTCACTCAATCCACGGCTGTTTGTGGGAATGTCGCTGGGTGCAAATTGGCTGCCACGTTTCGCCCACAAAATACACAGTCACTCCACTTTACAGTATATTCTGTGAAGCACTTTGAGACTTGTCAAATGCAAGGATTATTATTAATATTATTAATCAATATCATTATTATTAATAATATTATTAATGCATCTCTCTCTTTTTCCCCCCAGCGCTGGGTTGGAGCGTCAGCCCAGTCTGTGAGCTCAGAGTCCCTGATATGGGGTTCGAACCCACAACTTCCTGACTCGGAGGCGAGTTGTGAGCTGTGAGACTGACGGCTCAGTGTACGGAGCTGTCAGTGTGGACTGTCAGTCAGTGAGAGATTTACAGAGTTTGAGCTGTCGGCTTGTCCCTGTCTGTCGTGTCTGTCTCCCTCTCACACACTGGCTGCTCACGTCTGATAGATTGCCTTTGCTCAGCCTCTGAGACATCTCAAAGCACTTCACAGGATACACCGTACAGTGTAGTGACTGTGTACTTTGTGGGAAAAATGTGGTATTTGATTCCCTGCCCGAGTATCAAACCCGGGTCCTCTCGCTTGCCCGCTCAGCAGGCTCTGGCCTGTTCCATGCCCCTGCCTCGCCCGCCCCACCATCAGCGGTCGAGCCTTCAGCCTCTCCGCCCCCGCCTCTATTAGTCGATTGGCGGGTCGCTTTTCCAGGGCTAAATTCATCCCAAATCAATAAAAAAATCACTCAATCCACGGCTGTTTGTGGGACGCTGCTATGCGCAATTAGCTGCTGTGTGTCGCCCACAAAATAGCCTGTGGATTCTCTTCACCGTATATCTTGGGAAGCGCTTTGAGATGTCTAAGGATTACAAGGGAAAAGTTAGTGATGGGGCGGCTGCCATGGCCTCCTATTTGTCCCTCGTCCCCTCTGCCCCACGGTGCCCGTGCCTTGAACCACTGCACCCCCAAACTCTGTCACTCCCCCAATCCCTCTGCCTCACCCTCCCTCTCGCCACCTTCAATTCCCACCTAAAGACCATCCTTCTTGACCGTGCTTACGGTCACCTCACCCCTTCCCTCTCCCCACCCTCCCTTGGCTTTGGGTCAGACTCTGGGTCTCTTCCCTGCTTGAAGCGCGTTGTGTTGTTGTTGAATGATGGGGTGAGGTGGAGGGGGGGGAAGGGATTGATGTGGGGTGAGGGGTGGGGGGAGTGATGAGGCGAGTCAGGCCGGGAGAGTGATGATGGGGGTCTAACACGACTTCCCCCCCAACCCCCTTTGCCGCCAGCAGGGAACAAATCTGCCAAAGATGAGGCGCGTGGCTGTGCAGCTGGTGAATGTTCTCCTGGTGTTGGCGTCTCACGTGGATTCCACGCTCGCCCTGTTCAGGAACCCCACCCTCAACATCGCCGTCATTTTCGGGGGCACCTCCTGCGAGATGGACCTCAAGGATGTGGTCAACAGGGATGACTTCCGGCACCTCCCCATCGACCCCAACGTGGTGCAGGTCACGGTCAATGAGACGGACCCCAAGAGCATCATCACCCGCGTCTGCGACCTCATGTCCGGGATGAAGATCCATGGGGTGGTCTTTGGGGACGACGCAGACCACGAGGCAATTGCCCAGATCTTGGACTTCATCTCAGCCCAGACCATGATCCCAATCCTTGGTATCCATGGCGGCTCCTCCATGATCATGGCTGATAAGGTACAGACATCATTGCGGTCTCAAGCAAGCCCGGGGTAACGGGCATCGAGCCAGAGGCTGCTATCTCTATCCCTCTTTTATTATAATAATATTAATAATCCTTGCATTTGATACAGCGCCTTATCATGTCTTCGAAACGTCTCAAAGTGCTTCACAGGTGTAGTGACTGTGTGTTTTGTGGGCAAATCGCGGCAGCCAATTGTGCCCAGCGACGTCCCCACAAACAGCTGTGGATCGAGCGACCAAATTATTATTATTGTAATTTTTGTTTGGAGGGATTATTATCCCCGGAAAAGTGATCCACCAATCGGCTAACAAGCGAGTTCCTACAGACTGCTGGTAAACAGAGGCGTGTGTGTGTGTGTGTGTGTGTGTGTGTGTGTGTGGAGTCACCCTCAACCCTCACAGCGCTGTCCTTGACCGGTTCAGATTGTACCTCTCACACCACCTGCACTTCATCTCCTCAAATGGTTTCTCCTCCAGCCCCCGCACCGTCTCGTGTGGGTTCCTCAGGGCTCTGTGCTTGGTCCCCTCCTCTTCAACATCTATGTACTCCCTCTTGGTGACATCAACTGCAGACATGGGGTCAACTTCAATGGGGTATGTGGATGACACCCAACTCTACCTCTCTGTCTCCACCCTCGACTCCCAACTCCTTCCTCCACAGGCTGTGGATCATAAGAACATATAAGAGCATAAGAATTAGGAGCAGGAGGAGGCCATTCGGCCCCTCGAGCCTGTGCCCCGCCATTCGATAAGATCATGGCTGATCTTCAGACCTAACTCTAATTACCTGCCCTCTCCCCATATCCCCCAATCCCTCTATTTTTGAAAAAAAATCTCTCAGTCTCAGCCTTGAAGATGTTCAAGAACTGACATCTACAGCCTTCTGGGGGAGTGAATTCCATAAATTCACTGCCCTCTGAGTGAAGAAATCTTTCCTCAACTCTGTTCTAAAAGACTGACCCTTAATTTTAAGACTGTGACCCCCGGCCATCCAGAATCTGCAGCCCGTGTCCTCTCCCGCACCGGCTCCGTGACCCTATCACCCCCATCCTCGCCCGACTCCACTGGGTTCCCATCACACAGATCCTGGTCCTCACCTTCAAAGCCCTCCAGAGTCTTGCTCCCCCCCGACCTCTGCAACCTCTTAACCCCTTACCAACCTACCCTCTCCCTCCGCTCAGCAGGCTCCCTCCTGCTTACATCCCCGCCTCTCTCACCCCACCATTGGCGGGTAGGCCTTCAGTCACTCTGCCCCCACCCTCTGGCAACGCCATCCCGCAGTCCCTCTGCCCTCACCCGCCCCTTGCCACGTTCAAGACTCATCTCAAGACCCTCCTCTTTGACCGTGGTTTCGATCTCCCTTCTTCCCCCACCTGCCCTCCACCCCTCCCCGGGAATCGATCCGCGGTCCTCTCGCTTGCGAGACGAGGCCTCTAACCACTGAGCTACAGCACTTTTCGTCCCAGTTCTGGTGGAGTCACCGAGCTCAGAGTATCGCTCACGCAGTCTGATCTGACGCTCCGACACAGCGCTGGGAGGAGCACTGGATTGCGGGAGGTGGAGTCCTTCGGATGAGACAATCAACCGAGTTCCCATAAAATACACAGTGACGTTACAGTGAATCCTGCGAAGCCCTTTGAGACGTCTCCTGACGTGATGATGATTATTATATAAGCAGTGAGAACTCCAACCGGAGTGGCTCGGATTCCGTCGCCTGTATCCCGAGCAACCAGTGGCCTTAGCAACCACGCAGCAGTTGCCTAGCGATGGATGGTGGAGCGGAGCCAATGTGGGGAGTTGCGTATGTGCCCCCCAAAGCATCACATCGCATGTTAATAATAATAATAATAATAATAATACGAAGCCTTGCATTTGATGCAGCGCCTGATCACGTCGTTGAGACGTCTCAATGCGTTCGCCCACAAAGTATACAGTCAATTCACTTTACACTGTATTCTGCGAAGAGGTTTGAGACGTCTCAAATGCAACGATTATTAATATTATGGATCCACACTCCCACCAGCCCCTCATTGCCAGGCTCCGCCAGTCCCTGTGTCTCCCCATTGCTGTACTCCATCGAATCAGTGGCCCATAAAACAGACAGTCACTACACTGTGCAGCAAAAAAAACTCTGTGAGGCACTCCTGACATGAAAGGAGCTGGATCACACACAAGGAATATTCACAATAAATGTCACGGTAATAATAAAGGATCGAAAGAGAATAAAGAGGAGATAGCGAGTGATCGCTGCAGCCCGTGAATTCTCCCGCGACCCTATCACCCCCATTCCCAACCCCCATCCCGGCTCCACTGGCTTCCCGTCACACAGAGGATACAGTTCAATCTCCTGACCCCCCCATCATTGGCGGTCATGTGTTTATCCACTGCGCCCCCTAAACTCTGGGACTTCCTGCTCTACCCCTCAGCCTAACTTTATCTATCTTTAATAATGATAATCCTTGCATTTGATACAGCATCTCAAAGCGCTTCACGTAAGGTGTAGTGACTGTGTATTTTGTGGGCCATAAAGATAAAATTTAGATAATGAAGGGGTCAAGGGTTTCGCCTCTGAGTCAGAAGGTTAGGGGTTTGAGCCCCCACAGCGGGACTTGGAATCACAGAGTCTAAGCTGACGCTCCAACCTGCGCTGGGGGGAGGTGTTGTATTGTCGGAGGCGCCGTCCTTCAGATGAGACATTAAACCGATGTCCCGTCTACAAAATGCACAGTCACTACACCAGGTGTAAAGCTCGAGGACGTGATGGAAGCCTTTAAGTCTGATTGTTAGCTGAGTTTGATTCCCTTCAGGGAGAAATGTTGGCAAGTTTCCTTACTCCACACACACGCCCGTTTACCCCAGTAGTAAGTAGGAACCCGGTTGTTAATCGCTTGGTGGGATGGCTTTTCCGGGGTAATAATCCCTTCTAAAAAATAATAATAATAATAAATCAGTCACTTCAATCCACGCCTGTTTGTGGGAACGCTGCTGGGGGCAATTGGCTGCGTATACGTGTTGAGAGATGAGATCGGACGGGCCAAAGAGATTTTGTTGTCCAGACTGACCTTGAGGTCTTGTGGAACGTCATGTTACAGCTGTGTTTTGTTTATCAGACCCTCTGCTTAAGCCACGAGTAACATTTGCTTTCAGAGCCCTGGACGCTTTCCGTAGCATTCAGGCATTATTCCGGTATCCTGGCTGACACATCAAATCGCTTCGTAGCTGTTTGCGGGCACGTCGCTGTGCACAAACTGGCTGCCGGGCTTTGCCTGCAAAACACACAGTCACTACACTGGTAGGGCGCTTTGAGATGTCCCCAGGAGCATGGGAGAGGATGGGAGAAAGGTTGAGAGAGAGTGTGAACTGGAGAAAGGGAGAGAGAGAGAGGGAGAAAGTCGGATATATAATAATAATCATAATTGCATTTGTCACAGCGCCTTATCATGTCTTCGAGACCTCTCAAAGCACTTCACAGCATACACTGTAAAGTGAATTTATTTTGTGGGCGAAATATAGAGAGGGAATAGGAGAGGGAGAGAGTGGGGGAGAGAGTAAGGGAGTGGGGGAGAGAGGGAGCGAGTGAGAGAGTGAGAGGGAGAAAAGGAGAAAGTGAGAGAGAGAGTGGGAGAGAGAGCAGGAGAGAGTGAGAGAGAGTGTGAGAGTGTGTGGGAGAGAGAGAGGGGGAGAGAAAGAGGGAGTGGGAGAGAGAGAGGGAGAGAGTGAGAGGGAGTGGGAGAAAGGGGGAGCGAGTGGGAGAGAGAGAGAAAAAGAGAGGGAGAGAGTGATAGCGAATGGGAGAGAGTGAGTGGGCGAGAGCAAGGAGAGAGAGTGAGAGCGTTTGGGAGAGAGAGAGAGAGAGAGAGAGTGTGGGAGAGAGAGAGAGAGAGGGAGTGAGAGCAGGGAATGGGTTAAGCGAGTGGATTTGCACTCAGCAGTGTGGGGGGGGGGTGGGGGGGGGGGAGATGATGGCAAAGTACTATTATTGTGCAGCCTCTTTGTTTCCGAGTACAAAATAATTATACTCGGGTCCTGTTCCCCGCTGCATTGAAGGACTCAAATTAATGGTTGGTGGAATTCCTGTGTTTGCCTGTCAGCTCTGCACTGCTGCTCACAGTAGTTGGGAATACGCCCGCTCATTAACCCTTTGTACTATCGATTCTTTTTTTTCGGTCAGCCTGGGTGGGGGGAGAGAGAGTGAGAGAGAGAGAGAGAGAGAGTGAGAGGGAGGGAAAGAGAGAGAGAGAGAGAGAGAGTGAGAGGGAGGGAAAGGGGGAGAGAGAGAGAGAGCGTGAGAGAGTGTGGGAGAGAGATAGTGTGTGGGAGAGAATGAGAGAGTGTGGGAGAGAGAAGGGGAGAGAGTGAGTGGGAGAGAGAGAGAGCGAGTGTGGGAGAGAGATAGTGTGTGGGAGAGAATGAGAGAGTGTGGGAGAGAGAAGGGGAGAGAGTGAGTGGGAGAGAGAGAGTGTGGGAGAGAGAAGGGGAGAGAGTGAGTGGGAGAGAGAGGGAGAGAGTGGGGGAGAGAGGGAGAGTTTGGGAGAAAGTGTGGGAGAGCGGAGACAGAGAGAGTGTGTGGGAGAGAGAGAGTGCGTGTGTGGGAGGGAGAGAGAGAGAGGGAGTGAGAGAGAGAGAGAGGGAGAGAAACCCATCACTGTGCTTAAGAGTCAGTAACCCAGACTGAGATTTCCATTGATACAGTTGGGTAGTGCTCTCTCTCTCTCTCCTCGGGGGTGGGGTGGGGTGGGGGGGGGTCGATGGGGGTATTTTCCCCGTTGTGAAAGGTGCTTTATGAATACAACTTGTTGCTCTTACTAACGGGGAGGGGGGTCCGAGCTGGACAAGCAGCAGGAATGCTTGGCCACTCATGGACATTAGCTGGTGATACTCAATGCACACTCTGGACTCCCCTCCCCATAAGCCTTGGCTCTCACCAACCTGCGCCTAATACGCTCCGGAATTAGGTAAGCAAGGTGCGTCCCTCCAGGGAGAGAGAGAGAGGG